CCAGACATCTCTGTGCTAGGCTTAGTGGACTGAACCTAACATTCGGCTCCTACATCGGCATTCAAACAGTACTCATCAATTTGGTATCTGAGCATCGAAGAACCTGAGTGATGCTTTAAGGTAGGACAGTCTCCCATGATTTGCCTCACTGAGTATTTCTGGCAGGGTTGGGGGGTGGCGAGAGAAAAGACTTGAAGGCAGGGAATGAAAAGGAACTTTATAAAAGATGTTACAAAGCCTGAACATCTGGACTGAACTTATTCTCCAGTTTGATCGGAGGGGGAAACAGCTTGCCTGGCTCTCCAAGGGCTCGTAAAGGCCTCTTGGGCACTGAACTGGGCAGAATTCCTGGTTAGCACAGATTTGGTACCAATTAAGGACCATGTCTATATCTGGTACATGGTCTTAGCTTCCCACCCACATCAGCTTCCTCTGGTTTCACTTGTATTGCCCCACTGGAATCACAGCAAGATGGAATAGGCAGAACAGGGTAAAAAAAGACTGTAAATGTGCTATCTAGGATAACTTCACACCCCATCCCCAAGTGTGGCTTCATCTCTCTATTACCAAATGCACCCATTAATGACCCCACGTCTGCCTTTCTTTTAGCTCCCCCCCACACAAAAAAATAAAATTCTACTGATGGAGTCCCCTGGATAGCCAGTCAGCCTCTACTGCTCTAGATCCCCATCCGTTACTGTCCACCACCTCTCACTAATCTACACTGACATCCGGGACCCCAGCTAAGCAGAATACCACAGGATGCACAATCCTCTATACCATTAACCACTACAGCCCAATTTACTGTAAACTGACTGGCCAACCTGAGTCACAGTAAGACTCACTTTAACCTGTTACCCACATTTCCAGTACCTCAACCCAATTCAGCTCCTCTTTCATAAATAAATCAACTCACTGGATGCTAAAAGCAGCTGTTTTACTGTCACGCATTAGCTAACTTCAGAAGTAACAAGCGGAGATTTCCTTTCCAACTACTCAGCTGGTGAGAAACAGTTCAGCAAAGCAGCTTCAAGAGCCCACAGGTCTCTTTCCTCCAGGCACCCAGAGCTAAAGCCAGAAGTATATACTTAAAGTTTCCTTCCTCTTAAGTTTGTCCTAATCAATGTTTGGGGCAGAAAATATTGACCCCCGGGACTCCACTTCTTCTTAAGCGCACTGAAATACTAAAGCTGCACGGTCTTTTTGTTGTCACCGACTCAGAGCTACAAACGTGCCTATGCTTTGACCTCCAGCTCAATTATAAGAATTAATCCTGAACAGCTGGGCAGAATCTAAATGGCTTTCAGCACTTGTAAACCAGTGGAAAGAACACCATCAAGCGCACTTGTTCTTTGCTAGACTCTCCGTAATGCTCTTTAAAGCTCAGAGGGACAGTTTCAGGCCTAACTGTTATAGTTAAAGCAAACATTTATATATAAATAGTAAAAAAAAAAACAAGGGAAAAAAAACCCACACCTTAGGGACAAGAATGTTTCCATGATTTCTTTTTAAATCCAATCTAACTCCCTCCCTTTCTTTCCCCACCCCCAAAACATGACCCTGATCCCTCCAGTGGGTTAGCACAGAGAACCGAAGTGAAACTAAGCAGTGCAAATTCACTGTTCAAGCTGGTACAGCAGATAAACTAAACAGCACAGGGAGTAAATGAGATAGATACAGATATCACTCTCCTTCAAACGTTGGGGTTCGATCATTTTAAAAGATGCCCTTTCTAACATAAGATTTTTTTTTTTTCCAATGAATCCATTTCTGACTCAGCTTCTTAAAAAAAAAATCATGACCTCTCAGCTGACAAAATCATTCCAGTGTTTGTAATGGAAAATGAAAATAAAAATGACTGTTTTTCTCCTTCGTTTGTGCATGCGCGCCCTGTCAGTACAGCTCTTGAAGCAGGGCTAATTAGTCAACGGCTACAAAGTCATTACAGAGAGCAAACTGTTTCTCTGGAGCCCGGGGTGAAGGGGCTGACACTTGTTCAACTTGAGTTCAAAGTTACAAGTCAATCACACATCTATTGTGAACACAAATGACTCTGGGGACCATTACAATTTCAGAACTAAAATCTGTACCCCAACTGGGTTTGCTGCCTTTTCTCCGACATGCTTGTTAAAAGCCTAGACCAGAGTGCTAAACTAAGGGGAAGAGGAGGGACACACACACATGCACATATTTCCAGGCCATTAGTCTAAATCCAACCAAGATCGGTTGCGATAAGAAACTGCTTTGCTCATTATGAAATAAAACAGGTGTCTGCCACTTTGCCCCGTTTCACTGTGACCACCCACCACAATTAGCCAGAGCGGTCTGCCTCCTGGCACCCAGAGGCCAAAGGTTACAGAAAGTGCACTATCCCACAGGTTTCTCCAAAAAAGTATATGGGTGGGCAGCTGGCAGTACCAGCAACCGGTTTGTAGGAAAACAGCTCAGAGAGCATCAATATCGAGACATCAATTCGACTACCTTCCTCAAGCATTAGAAGTCACACAATATGGTTTTAAAAATGACTTCCTGCCCTGTGGGCAGGGGGCTAGACAGGATGATCTTGCAAGGTTTTTCCAGCCCTAAGGTCTATGAATCTATGAAACTCAGCCTTCTTAAACGTTAATCATAACCCCCTGGACCTTACAGATAAAGGACAACAGGGCTGAACTACAAGAGAAGGGCTGCCTCACCCCACCTTTACCGTCGCAAATCTGTTCATTTGAAAAAGTCTCAGGAAATACACCATGCCCACTTCATTTACTGTGTTTGTGTGGGTGTTTTGCACAATGGCAGAGGGAAAAAAAAGACTTCAAAATGATAGGAAAAATATGACTGTAAACCCACAAAGATTAGCAAAGGGAGCTGAAGAACATAAAATTACTTTGAGCCTGTGTTTTCTGAAACGTCTCGCTCTGAATATCACCACCCAGGCAAACTTGTGGGATTCGGAATTGTAACAGCTCATTTATCAGGTTGCATTTCATCTCCCGAAACAAACCTGCTGAATCTTCAATTTCCACATGCAAATTCCATTGCTAAATATGTGATCTGTTTTCTGGAGAAACAGCTAATGTTGTTTTAACATATACTTTTGGGCCAAGATGTCAGAGAAATTTATAACACTTGGTGAAATAGCTGAGATTTGATTGGGTGGAAAGGGGGAAAAAATTTAATTAAGGTATGTTTTTATAGCACTGCTTAGATTGCAAGCTCTTTGAAGCAGAGCGTATGTGTCCTCACTTCCAGCACAAAGGGAACACGAAACCGGGTTGGAGGCTGGAGGCACTAGAGAACGCAAATATTAAAAAACGGTGAAGCATCCTGCTGAGGACAACATTACATTTTTGCCACAACCTGATCAAACCCTGCAAGGAGTTCTTTCAGACAGTGCACGCTTAATTTAAATGCACTGAAGACCCCATCCTGCAATCAATGAGAGGGCTCACTCGAGCGGTAAATTCAGGAGACAGCATTCTAGTGTCGGATCCTGAAGTTGCTACTTAAGCAAACCATCTCATTGATTGCAGGATTGGGTCTTTAAGACTATTTAAATAAAATATCTGTGCACAAATGCACACAATAAAAATGGCAAGCAGAACTTAGGTGAGAGGTAAGTTCTGCCCCAGGACTCGAGTATCCAAACCTGGTCGGACTCTTCCCCTGCTCTTTCATGGCAGCATGAGCTCTACCCTGTTCAAAGGGATTTCAGGATGGTTGTCACTACAGTGCTAGCTTGCAAGAGATCTACAAACTTTTTGAAAACAAGAACATGTGAAACATTAGGGGGACAGAAAAGTCACCTTTTCAAATGCCATAAATTGAGTCTCTTCTTTGCTATTCATTCCATCCAGGAAGAGCACACGTCAACTGCAGATGCTTCCTCAGCCTGATGAAGGGTATTTATGCCCGAAAGCTCACAAAGAAGAATTTTTCCAACTATTTGAGCTGGTCTAATAAAAGATACCAGGATTTACCCAAAGAATCTTGCCTGCCTATGTCCTTAGACCAACATAGCTACACAACCTATATCCCTGTAAAAATTGAGTGTGTGTGATTAAAGGCCCTCATGTGACTGGGGTTTCCACCCGGAAATAAAATTCT